GTCCTCCGTTTCATGAGCTTTTAGACTCGCAAGTCCTTCTTCTAAAGCCATCAACCACGAGTCGTTAGGTCTGAAGCTTCTAAAAATGGCCTAATATAAAATTAGAATGGTAAATTAGAAATTATTAAAAAAAAATCAATGACATATCAGCAATTAAGACTTGGCAGACTTGTCTTATGTGTTTTAATTAATCCACATATATATTCCACCTCAATAATCTAATTTACATGTCAGATTTTTTGGGGTTTAATTTGTCTTATAAAACTTAAATGACTAACTCGATAACTGAAATAAATGTTTAAGGATTGAAATGACTGAAATTAAAGTTGAAGGATTAAACTGATAAAACCCTTAAGGAATTAAAAGTTACATTATTTCTTAAAAATATTTTATATTTTTTAAAATGAATTATGTAAAAATCAACTGTCATTTCACAAGTGCATATTTATTAATTTACTAGCTAAACTTGTTAACAATATATCTTCTATATATTCAATCTGATTGATTTTGTTACAATATCTTCTATATAAGTTCAAGATTTATACATTAGCGGATTTTTTTTTTTTTTAAAAAAAGGAGCGATGAATTTGATTGACATCTAATCATGGATTTATCTATTGGCGAGCAGGGGACAATAAAAACGGAGGGGATCCAGAGAACCCAAGGGGCTTGCATACAAAGGAAATTGTTCCACAAAACTATGCCACCCTTTATGAGTTTCTGGCCTTTGTCTACGTATTTTTATCTTGCATTCTAGGATTTGGTATGTGATCACGTACGTTCAAGTTTAATTCCTTGATCTGTTATATATACAACAGTAATTCCTCCAATGCTTAAGTTACCACATTAAATGATACTATTGTTTTCACGTGAATCTTGATTGTCATCAGCCAAGACGTATTATGCCTTAAAGGATGCGAAATGAAGGCATAGATGGAGCGTTCAGATATTGAATGAACTCATGGAAAGGCCTGGTAAGGCGTACATTGGCGGAGGAGGTAGCCCTGACGAAGACTCGGATTTCCCAAGATTTTCGTGGTGAGGATATTCATCACCACTAAAAAATTATTAGTCAGTTGTTTTTAAATTTTATGAAATCAATCTTTGATTTCTATTTTACAAAAATAATTTATAATTATATTATTTTTAAATTTTATGATATCTTTCACATATTTTACTTTTTAAAACACTTTATTATCTATTACATTAGGGGCTCGTTTGTTTTAATTTATTTCATAAAAAATTGTTTATTTTTTTAAAAAAATTATGTTGCGAGTTTTTATTATATTTATTTAAACTTTCAAAAATAATCAGATTCCAAAAAAGGTAAATTTTTGATTATTTTAAAACACTACTTTGAATAAATTTTAAAAATAATCTAATATTATAGATAAAAGAGAATGTTTTAAAAAGATAAGATATATAAAAGTATTATAAAATTTTAAAATAATATAATAATAAATTATTTTTATAAAAAAACTGTTTTAATATGCTTAATCACTTATGTTTTAATCTTAAACAAACAACTCCTGAGTACCTTTTAAAAATAATTAAATATGGTAAATGAGAGAATGCATTTTAAAGAGGTAAAATATACTATCAAAAAAATTTAAAATAATAAAATAATATTATTTTTATAAAATAGAAACTTAAAAAGATATCATAAAATTTAATAATAACCAACTATTAATTGCTTTTTTATTGTTATAATTAAACATACAAGTTTATAATTTTTTTTATAAAATAAATTTCTTTTTATGATTTTTTTTGACCAAACTTCTTTTTATGAAATTTATAAACTATTTAAAAATAACTTACTTTTTAGTACCCGTTTGGATTTCAGTTAAGCATAATAGATTATGAAAATAATTGATTAAGTGGTAGATTTTAATCATAATTGATTATACTAGAACGCAATCTGTTTGGATACTGTTTTTTTAAAATTGATTTTAACAGAACTGAAGATGTTTGAATAATTTTTTCAAAATCAATTTTAACTGTATAAATTACCATAAAAGACATTACTTTTTAAAATTAAATTATTAATAAATTTGTATCTAATAGTATTAAAGTTATTACATTTTATTTAAGAAGTAAAATATATTGTTTAAACTACATATATAATTAATTAAAAATTTAAATTATATTAATACTAACATTTAAATTTATGTAAATAAATAACTACATATATCTTACTTAAAATAAATTCAATAAAGGACAAGAAATTAAATTCTTAAATATAAAACAATAATTTCACAACAACTAACGAAGATGATAATATACAAGTTGGTCTCTAATAATATCACGAATACTAGTCATAGTTGATGAAGAAGATGTCATGGATGAATATTCATCAACATCATGGTCTGCTTGATCTTTCGTCTCATGACGTATAAAATCAACATCAGAGTTAGAGTGTCTTCTAATGAAATTATGTATTGCCATTGATACAACAACGATTTGAACTTGTGTTATCGTAGTCATAGCTAGGCATGTTGCGTAAAATTGCAAATCTGTTCTTCCAAACTCTAAATGTTTTTTCTATTGTGTACTGTAAAATTTGAATGAAAATAATTAAAGACCTCGTTATTATTTGCAAATCTAGTTGATCTTTTAAAATGAGGAAGATGGTAGCGTTCCTGTCTATACGGACCAAGATATCCATTTGGTGTTGGATAGCCAGCATCCACCAAATAATATTTACTTTGTAAAAAAAAGATTACTATTAATGCTTGTAAACTGGAAAATCTAACATAAATAAATTGAACAAACCTAAAGGTGGATGTGGAAAGTTCATGGATTGAGTTGTCAGGGCATGTTGAAAAATGCGAGCATCATGTGCAGTGCCCTCCCATCCAGCCAAGACAAAAGTAAAGTACATGTCCCAATCACACACAGCCATTACATTTTGCGTAGGGATTCCTTTTCTTTCAATATATTTTGATTTTTCACTAGCAGGGACTACACATGGAATATGTGTGCCATCAATTGTTCCAATGGCATTTTTAAAGAATGGCCAATATCGCTTATCATTTTCTATTTTGTTTGATACGTGACGAAAGGACCTGTCTTGTGGTTTGATATATTCCATTGCAAGTTTCAAGCAAGCCATTAAAACTTCATGAAAATGTCTGTGAATAGTCTCTCCTGAATGTTAAAATCTTTTTTGTGCCATCCTATTTCCCAACCCATGTCCAATTGTATTTAAGAAATTGCAACCATGTCCTGTACTCTCATTCACCTAGTATCCTTCAATCCATGTCGTGTCAATTCACTGCATAATTGATGGAACACATGTGGTTCCATTCTAAACATTTCATAACAACAAACTGGGTGTCCTTCTAAAATTTCATTCATCTATAAATGACCTGTATATTCACTATTTCTTCGTGGCTCTTTGTACAAATGTTTTGTTGCATACAACCCAATGAGAGCACTAACTTTTTAGGCTCTCTTTAGCCTTTTTTTAGACAAATCACAGTATTGTTTGCATAATCCCAACCCAATCTTGTTTTACTTGAAACCAACTTATCCCACAGTACCCAATCTTTTCTTATATTATCCCACTTATTTTTGAATTGCTGTCTGTCATATTTCTATCCAGTCCTCTCATTGAAGGTAGAATTATTTCGAGCCATCCTACTTTGGTAAAATTGCCACCATTTCTTTGCGATTTTTGAGTTTAGTCCAAACAAATGTCAATAAATATTCTAATATTTCTACGATCCCATGAAGCTTTTGACTTATTGTTATTCATTATACTATATAAAAAAACTAACATGTTAATTATAGGAATTGTAATTAAAATATTATATGACAAAAACTTGGCAATTTTTAGAGGAGCCAAATTCAACAGAGACTCACACAACAAAAAATTCGACTAAATGACCCCTATATATGCAAAACATATTGTTTGCGAATAAAGCTCCAATAATCAGTGATCACACAAACCAAAACCAATAAAGAGTTCAACTAGGCACAAAACCAACTTTCAATAGCTTTCTCACAATTTGCAAATGTATAAGATTTTGACTAAAATCAAGTTTCAATAGCTAAAAAATTAACCATTAACTTTTCTCCCATATTCAGCACAGAGTTAAACTAACACAGAAAACATCATGAAAAATTAACTTTCACCCACATTATTATTTGCAAATGTTCAAGAGTTGTAAGTGATTCAAACCACACAAAACTAAGCCAACAATCGCGAGAACAAATCCATTCGTGCATAGATCAGAGTGAAGAGGGAAACAGAGTCTGACCAAGTTCAAACCTGACCAAGATCATCCAAAAGAAGGTTAGAGAAGATCATTTACCTCTGAGCTGGACTGACTGAAGAGGACCACGAGCAGATCAGTGACGAACGAAGGACCACGAGTAGATCGAGGCAAGAGAGTATAGATAAAGCTTACTGCCTTCCTCGACTATGGCAGGAGATCACCGCCACTGGAAGCAACTCGAAGATGGCGGACGGAGGAGGTGACGCCACGAGGACCACAAATCTACACAGAGTTGGTGGATGGCCGAAAGATCGTTGCCTCTGTGAGAACTGACTGTGAGACGACACGACTGTTGGAGGTAGGTGGATGACCGCAAAGATGGCACGACGGCGGACGGCGACTAAGTTGGGGGTGGGTGGATGATGACAGTGAGACCGAACGAGAGAGGAGATCAGAAATGAGAAAGCTGCGACTAAAATGAGATAAATGAAGATCAAAAAGAAGATAGAGAAAGCACGTGAAGGGCAATATGAGTTCTCAGCTTTCACAGAGAGAGAACACGTGAATAATGATAAAAAGATTTTAAGTTGAAGTTGGTTTAGGAAGATTATGAATTAATGCGCATTTTACCTCTTTGATCGATTATTGCATTTTTTTTAGTGTTTGGATAATTTCAATCAAAAAATCGATTATGGCCGCAAATTCAATTTTTGTGTCTATCCAAACACACGCCTAGTTTAAAGCAAAACGCCTTTCTTAGCATGCAACCCATCTTCTTCTCTTTCGTCTTTCTGACCCCTATTTCCGTCAACTGAACGGGGCCTAGGGTTTTTAAAGGATTTTTGTTTCTCTTTTCTTTCCGTTATTGCAAAGAAACGTTTGAGCGAGTGCCTCCATGTCTACTCAGGCTATCTACGGCGTAATGCCGGAATCCTTATCGGCATCAGGTCGGACGTCAGAGAAGCTAAGCCTGCCGTCACTACAATCCAAGATGAAATGTGATCCTGAGGGATATGAGTCTGAGCTAGTCCTCCTCCGCAACCAATTCGATTCGTTATTGGAACTCTTTGAGCAACAAGCGGTGATGAAGTTCACCTCTATCAATGGCATCGGTAGCGACTCCTCTGTAGCCAAAGACCTTGCTGATAGAGCTATGTTCTTGGCGCACGTCACTCCCTTTTATCCTACGCATCTTGCTGACTTCCCCAGAAAGCTTGCGGAATTGCTACGCTCTGCTGGAAGCACGCTACCATCTAACCTTCGGTGTCACCTGACGCAGGCTCTCATCCTCCTCGTGAATAGACAGGTAAGCTGGCTTTACATCGGCGAGAGCTATTTTAGTGGGAGACTAAAAATTGTTAAACCTCTCCTTATTTTAGTTTCTCATAATTGGATATACCACGAAAGATTTATAATTTTAAAAATGCAGGGAAGAAATATACATCATCATGTTGTCTCTGGAAATTTTGCGAATATGTTTGTCTCTATACTCTCCGAGAAACATGTTTATTATTGATGTTGGAGAACTCTGACGTTTGGAAGAGTTTCTTTTCCTTAAAAGGAACTCAGAGCTAACATAGAGAATTTAAATTTGAAAGAGCAGCTGGAACATTCCTAACTTTCAGATGTGATTTTTCTTTTGCTGTGTATATCAGATTGTTGATATTGGGGAAACACTTCAATTGTTTATGAATCTTCAAACCCTTGGTGACAGAACGTTAAGGAAGCTGGCGTTTGATCATGTTGTTCATAGCATTAGGCGCATGAATCAAAAGCATAAAAATGAAGCAAAGAACCGAGCGCTTCAAAATATATTGTTTGGGATGCTACAGGTTTGTGATCATTTGCAAAATTTCCTATAATGGGTTTCTATATATATTGGATGTCTTCTAATTGTGGATAAATTTGCACATGTTAATAGCAAGAAGATGTAGCAAGGGCTAAGCAATCGCTCATCACTTTGTGTGAACTGCACCGGAGGAAAACATGGTTTGATGATAGAACTGCAAATGCTATCTGTACAGCTTCCTTTCATCCATCGTCAAGGTATCCATTCTGCTAGGTGACTTTTTTTGTAATTTTTTCTCCAATGTGGAATTTATATTTTAGTATTTGCGCCTCTCAGGATCATGATAGCTGCATTGTCATTTCTTTTGGATTATGAGAAGATTGAAGATGATGAAGACAGTGACAATTCCAGCAGTGAAGATGAATCATCTGCGCAACCTCAAGTTCTTCTTAGTAAGGAGGCAATTTACAAGGTCAGGTGTGCGCTTAAGGAGTAAATTAACCGCTGAATTACCGATTGATAATTTTATGTCAAGTGGATAACAGATATTGTTGCAAAACTAACTACACCAATCCATATGCGCATGTACAACAAGATTCTTTATTTAAATTGATGTGAAAGATACTACAATGTTGATTTTTCTTTTCTTTTTGCTTTTATACATGGTGAAAATTATGTCTTGGAGTGAGACAATCTAGTTGAAGCTCGCATTTGACTTGCCTAATTGTTGGTCATCTTTATGAAAATTCAGGCACACCACAAAGGTACAGTAGCTAGCAAGAAAAAGAAGCAGGCTAAACTGCAGCGTGTCATGCGTAGCTTGAAAAGACAGCAACGCATGTCCTCTGGAAACAAGAACACCAGTTATTATTCACCACTTAATCACCTGAAAGATGCACAGGTTTGCCCATTTTTTTTAATCACGATTATCAATCCTCTTCTGGATTTAAATTTTGTTCCATTGGATCAAGAACATCACCATCACATATGGTATGCAGGGTTTTGCTGAGAAGTTGTTCTCTCGCCTTCAAAGCTGTAATGAACGATTTGAGGTACATCCTCTAACTAAAATTAAACAGACATTCCTCTTTTTTGATGAACGAGGACCCTTGAATTTTTTTTTTCATGTCTTCTAAATTTTACTAAAGATTCCATTTTTAATGGTCTCTACTATTGACCATTTTACTTTCCAGGTTAGGATGATGATGCTGAAAGTGATTACCCGAACTGTTGGACTTCACCAATTGATTTTACTAAATTTATATCCTTTTCTTCAGAAATATGTTCAGGTATCTTATCTGATATATCTGCTTTAAGTTGGTAATCTGTGCATCACTGAAATGTTACTAACTCTGCATTGTGCCTTCAGCCACATCAACGAGATGTCACATATTTGCTTGCAGCAGCTGTACAGGCTTGCCATGATATGGTATAGTATAATTTTTTTGATCATCATGAGATTTATTGTTGTAATTAGTAATTTTGCTTATCAGCTTTTGACTCTTTCTATTCCTCTTCCTCTTTTTTAATTTCATTTTTGTGATGATATGGTATGGTGCAAACAGGTTCCTCCTGATGCAGTCGAGCCCTTGTTTAAGCAGATAGTAAATCAATTTGTGCATGATCGCTCACGTCCAGAGGTATTAGCAGTCTTAACGCTATAATTCACCATATATTTTATTTTTTATGACGGGGGTTATCTTACTTGGCTCTATGTTGCTAGGCTATTACTGTTGGACTAAATGTGGTGAGGGAGATATGCATGCGGATGCCTTTGGTAAGTATCCCAATCCCCTCTTTCAGATATATTCTTTTTTTACTGATTGCTTTTTTGTTTTTGATGATATCTCTGTACTTTTCTCAAGTTTCTTAATTATTCTGTTCTATACAATGGTATGACCTTTTGTTTTTCGAATCTAGCTGATGACAGAGGAGTTGCTACAAGATCTTGCATTATATAAGAAATCACATGATAAGTCAGTTTCAATTGCTTCTCGTTCTCTGATTGCCTTATTCAGAGAGGTACTGCTGCTTGATTCTTTGGGTCTGGACATGTGCGTACGCTTCTTCTGTTGGCTATGAAGTATTTTAATGTTGTTCTTTTGCAGGTTTGTCCTTCACTACTAATTAAGAAGGACCGTGGGCGGCCCATTGACCCTAAAGCAAGACCAAAGGCCTATGGAGAAGTTAGCGTTGCAGCTGATGTTCCGGGTCTTGAGTTATTACAGACTCTTGACAATGATGATGGGCAGGAGGGTGATGATTCGGATGACTCTATATGTTGTGGCTCTGACAATGATCATGAAATTGATGCTAACGGTAATGAAGAGACGCAGGTGACTGGTGGTGATATTGGAAGTGAGGATGATGACACAGATGGTAGTGATGTTGGATCAGAAAATTTTGATGATATTGAAGATGAGGAGGACAATCTCGAAGACAATCAGCAGGTTGATGAAGAGGATGGTGAGGGTATGGAACATGATGATAGTGATCAAAATATTTCTAGTGATGATGATCTACATGCATCTGGTGATGATGATCTCCACTCATCTAGTGATGATGATCTACATGAATCTGGTGTTGATGAGAGCATAGATAGAAAGAGTAAAACTGAACAACCCTTAGACAGAAAAAGGAAGTTTACTGATTCTACTGAACAACTTAATGCTGATGATGCAAGTCTTCGAGCTTTGAAGAAAAAATTGAAATCAGACTTTACTGATAGAATACTTTCTAATGAGGATTTCCAAAGGATCAAGAAGCTAAAGGTTTGCCCTTTTTTTTGCTGAATCATCTGTTATTCACGAATCCCTATATATTGTTTACACTGTTTTCTATTATCTTGTTGGTAATCTACAGGCAAAGAAGGAAGCTAAAAGTGCACTGGCTCAGCATGGGTTAGCAAAGTCAACAGCAGTTAAGGCTGCAAGCTCTGATCAACTTAGTTTGAAACCTTTGGATCCTGCCAAGCTTGAAGTTAGTAGTTCTGTCTTAGTCAGACTTCTAATTATTTTGTAGATGATCACTAGCTGCATTGCAAGCTGGAAAGAAAATGCAATCTTTTGGTTCAATAAGTTTGATGTCCATTCTTTTTTAAATTCTAAATTTATGCCCCTCAATATGCTAGGCGATTTTTATTATTTTTCAAAATTTGGGTAATTCTTCGGTATAATTGTTCATGAAGAAATGGGAGATTAGTTTTGCTTTTATTAGCTACTCCTGCATTCCAAATGTAGATAATGGTCTATCAATTTTTGTGAGATGGTTTCATTTGTTCTCACTTCTTTGCATATCGATATGGCTTGTTCTGTTGAGTTTTCATTCAATGTTGTTTTGGGTGAAGTCTGAATCTTTTCCTCATCGTTGCTTTAGGGTTGTCATATTGAACTCAAAATAATACGAAAACACCTACAGTGTTTTAGGCAAAATCTTAGGAAGACTTGCCTGAGACACAAATTTTCTTTTCATTGATATGGTATTAATGAAGAGATATATTTCTAGATTGGGTTCATGTACAGATGTTTCCCTTTATGCTCTTCTATATTAAGTTTATTTTAACCTCTCATTCATGCACCTTCTAGGTTCACATGAGGAAAAAACTAAGCAAGGATGAAAGATTGGCGTTGATTAGAGCAGGAAGGGAGGATAGAGGAAAATACATTGCTCGAGCAGCTGTCAAACAGAAAAAGGTATGTTGCTCTTTCTCACAATTCTTTTGGGGTCCTATTTTTGACTGCTATATATTCTTGTGGAGTTTCTTTGCTTCACTTTTAATAGTCTTTGTAGCATAATCTTGTGAAATCTATTGCCATGGCGAAAAAGAGATTTCTGGTTTTAGATCCTAGACTTCAATGCTAAGGGTGACCAATATTTTATGTATGGAGAAGCAATGATATAAATAACCAAACCTCAGTCATTTTGCAGTCTCATGGAGCTGCATTTATAAATTGAGGTGGTCTACTCGGGCCTTGGGGTGGAAATATTCATTTTACGTGATAGTTTCTGAGAAAAGATTTTTTTTAGTTGAAAAAGGTTTTCTTTGTATTAAAAAATGAAAAAAATATTCTCATTCATATAAGCATTCGATTGGTTTGAAATTAAGTCAATGATTCCATCTTGACCGTCAAGGTCTGCCTCAGGTTCATTTTAAATCTATATATCTATATATACTATGTAATCTGTATGAAATGTCATCTATGTATCTTCTATATATAATATAAAATCTTAAGTCTCACTATTCTCAAGCCATGAACAATGTAGTTCATCTCGTACTCTCTGCAAAACTTGGGCCCACGATTTAGTTTAATTTATATATTATATTTAGTTTGTAGTTTACCCATTTGAGTATCCGTTGAAGCCATACAAATTAGTAAGTTTTTAAAGAAATGAACATTATGGGATTTATATGGTTTGTCTGAATTGACACTCCACAAACATCAAAGTCCATACTCTTGGTGGATTGGTCTTGATTACAAACTCGGAATAATAGTCGTGATCTACATAATGTTACCAAATCTAGGCTCATATTCTGGCTCACTTAGCAACAACGGACTATCTTTTCAGACCGGGCTTGGTTACTTTTCTAGCCTGGGTTTTCATCCACTTCTCCTTTGACCTGGTCAGCCCCCTCCTCAGTGATCCCTACTAACCTTGCACATTTATGTCTTCTGCCTTCTGCTATATGTGTGGAGGCTGTTTTTGGGTCGTATCACTTACCAAATGCATTGCGATGGTTACTAGTTATTGATTCATTGACTAGTTTGTATGGATAAGTGTTTACTGAAACGTTTCTTTTGACGCACCTTTTGAGAAAATCATTCTCTTCGGCTTTCTCTGGGTGTCAGGCCTTCAGCCAATGGTCTTTCGGGGGTTTTAACTGTTGATCTCCAAAGGGTTTGGAAAATCTAAAGAATTAATGAGTCTGTAAATCTTGTTTTGGATGGACTTCTTGTCCTCAGTAATGTGTTTTTTTCCGGAAGACTTTGCTCTCTTCATTAAAATATTGTCCGTAAAAAGAAAAAAAAGGAGGCCTTGCTCGTTAGCTCAAGCTAACCCTTGGGTTGTAATTAAAATCCAATCAAAGTTGATATACAAAGAGATATTTGACCGTGTTTATCTCAGTTTTCTTCGGTGGAAGGTACTGGACCCATTTTCTCAAATAAGAAACTAATAATCTATTAATCTTATAATCCTTTGAGAAACTAATAAGAAGCAGGACAATGAGGTATAATTTAATCTTCATTTCGCCCCTGGCAATTAGTCTTTCTCAGAATTTCAACTTTTTAAGGGAGGTGAGACTGCAATTGGGACATGAACATAGTTTACAACACAGAAGGTTGGCCATTGTGACATTGAGATGGCACATCAGAGGAAATTTGTAACAGGATTGCTCTAGAACTACTAATTTGGCATAAACATGAAATTTAGTTGATAAGTGTTTTTATTATCCATATTTCTAAGTTGTTTGATTGATCGTGTAGGTTTGTTTCTTCGAGGGAGAAAAATTATCATGAAAGCACTTTAGTTTGCTTCTTGATTGCCTTAAATGGGGCATTTGATAATTGATTGTTTGTTTGAACAGACGGGTGGCCTGAGCAACCGACAGAAAGAGCACAAGAAGAAGATGCCTCTGGCTGCGAAGAGAGATAAGGTGGCAAAATCTCGTATAGAGAAAAAGAGAAAACAGAATCGATCAGGCAAACAGTTCCGAGGGAGGAAAGCCTGGAAATAGTCAAATTATGTACACAGTATTGAGTTATGAGCCATGCAGTTTTGTTTTTCATCTTAGGATTTCACCCACCATCGCATCATATTTCATGACATTTTGATGCATTTTTTTTTCACCCACGTTGTCATGGTAGTTCATTAGATGCAGTTTTGCCCCCCATTCGTTTCCTGTAGTGTTTTAGTTCGTTCTTTCCTGAAGATTTCATTGACGAATCTGCAGTTACAGATGTATAATGTCAAGTGTTTCTAGTGAGAGTATTGATCTTTATTATGCAGTCAAATATCCGATACATAAATCATTTTATGAAATTAATGATGTAATGATTTGAGTCGGTAGAAAATACTGTGAAAACAATTTATTTTTTGGCATAGCAATTTACTTTTAGGGGAGTTCAGTCCAGTTAAAGGAAGGTTATTGACCCCAAAACATGTACGTCTTCGATTGCCTAATTAATTTCAGCATAAACTGTTACATAATTGGAAAAACAGGGCAAAGGCTATGATACCCCACTAGTTTAAAACCATGTCAACCTTTTGTCATGAACTCCTATAAAAAGCATTTAATTATAATTTTTAACAAGATGAACAGTGATAATCTTACATAATAAAAACGAACAGCTGAAGTTATATCCTCGACTCCCAGCACAGCTAAATCATAAACGGGCACTAACAATTCGATAGATCGGACGCACCAAGAATTTTGGCAAGTCAACATCTGATGGTTGACTTTAAAAGGTCTCTCGAACTCAGAATTGTTGAATGCATAGAAGAATCTGCAGTATTTGTGGATCAGTGCTTGATGTCTTCGATATTGGGATTTCTCAGACAGCCATAAAACACCACAAATAGGCAGGGCCAAGAAACCTTAATAAATAACTCGAAGCCGATTGATGACAATACCGTGCCCCAAAATGAGTGGCAGGAAACCATATGAAGCAAACACGTTGAGTGGTAATCATAACTTACAAGCTACTCTCAATCTCGCATTTAACAAACAGGAGAAGGGAGATCTGAGACTGACTAGGAGAATAAAAACCAGATTCAAAGCATGCTAGAATAGAGTCTCTTCAGAGCAGGAAGGCAAGTCACAAGACTGCCCAAATACATCAGGAATCCCATCCCAGTTCTTGTTCTCTCTCGCTTCCCAGTAGCCACCCACATATCTGTAAGAGCCGTCTTCGTCTTTTTGGAACCATCTAGGTTGCCACCCTCTTTCCTGCATCCTTCTTGCCTGCATCGATGTCATGAAAGAACAAAATATTTAAACCCCCAGTAGAATTATTTACTGCTGGAGCAAATGGCAACCCACTATTTGGCCTAATGAATGGATCAGATGTATGGAGCAGTTTTGGTTGAAATACCTGTCTCTGCAATTGTTCAAGTCTTAGTTTCTCTGCATTTGCCAACTCGTATTCTCCATTTTCTAAATGTCTTTGATCTGGTCTCAGCCTTGAATCGGTTGGAGGCAACTTTTCCAATAAACCGGGTGTTATTTCATTCAATGATATTGCAAAAGGAGAGAGGTTGTATCTTGTCTTAGTAAGGTAAGGGTCCCTTTCCCACAATAATACAGCTTCTGTCATTGGATCATACCCTTTAGGCTTTGTAGTCGGATCCCCGAGGACATAGTACATTGCCCCATCCCACTTCCCAATCAACATTGCTACCTTCTCTCCAGTTCTATTGTCTTGAACAAACCCATGGACCTGGTATATGTACAATTAAAAATTCGGTTGGTTAAAGAAGAAAAGAGTAACAATCCATCCAAGCTGCTAATACAGTTGTTAAATTTCCTTTAAACGAGCCAGATATTACATTTTTGTCCGGAAGTAGTAAAAGCATATCAGCCTAGACAAAAATGCCAGACATGTGATTTTTGGAGCATGAATTATACAAAACTGCTTGATTGGTACAGGCAATTAATATATTTCAACGATACAGTACTGCTTGATTGGTAGGGTCAATTAATATAATTAATATATTTCAACGAAAGTATATTTGATTATTTAACCAAAAGAAAAAAATGAAAGACGCTTAAGAGATGGTCCCATCCGGTGGATCTCATAAATATTACAGGCAACAACCACAACAGCAACAATTATAATAGCCGTTGTTGCTTTTGTTATTAAGTAGTATCATGTATAATTATGTGCAGTGCTTTTATAATTACATTGTCTTTAATTATTTATACTAGTTGTGTATACATAATTAGAAATTATATAACTCATTAAATAAGCAGTAAAAATTCACAATACCTGATGTGGATTTCGGTCAATTATAGATTGCTCTTTGAACTTGAGCTTGCAGGAGTAGTTGCCACTGCCTTTGATGCGCATGGTCCCATAGTGATCACAATAAATTTTTCCTAGTATGATATTGTATATTGAAGTGGTGACCTTGCTCCATTGAAATGTTTCACCATCTTCAAACTGAAGGGTGAGGACACCCACAGGATCCAGCTGGATAGAACGTCCCCAAAACTTGCCTTTCAAATTGGAATCTGCCCAGAATTTCCATCCTATTCCCTCGCAGTGACAAGCAACAATCATTGGATGATGACTAACCTGCAGCAAACTTCTTGTTAGAAAAAGTTAGCAGTGTATCATATATATACATATATCTTGGAACGTAAGAAGACAACAAAATGACTAGTTAGTCCTTGTGGAGTGTTCATTAATTCTGACTTCAACCAATTAACCTTGCAAAATCCAAAAAGTAGGGGGTAAAAACAATTACCTTTTCAGAGAAAAACCTGAGTCCTTTATCTGGATAGTCAGCTTCATAAGTCTCCCCAAGTAGAGGATTAAAAGGTTTACACTGCCTCCCTTCTGTTGAAGCATAGCCAGACACAGCAAAAGCTGCAATATTTAGAATTCTCATCAAATCATTCCCCTGCAAAGTGCAAAATGCTCATTCAAGTCATACTTTTCACAACACCCTTAGTATTAAAAAAAGAACATGCTAAATAATATGCATCAGAAACATAGCATCATCTTCCCCGGTTCCCCCTCAACTTCACCTTTGCCAATAAGCACTAGACAAGCTTACTTTGAATTATAGAACCCGCATTTCGTAAGATGTATCATCAGAGCCTATTGTTAACCTTAGATCGATCAGCATAAGCCTTTAAAACTGGTTTGTGACATGGTTGTAGAGTCAACTTACTCCGGAGTTCAAGCAATACATAACTAGGTTTTCAGTAAAATTTCTTCAAGGGCCATATCATTTGCAAGCCTAATAAGATATGATAATGTGCAATGATGGCACCTTCTATCGTTGCAGTCTCTGGGAAATTAATAACCAAATACAGCAGAACAAAACATTTTGATCTTCGTATGCTTTTATTATTTACTACACATGCCAAAGCTAATTTTTTAATTTTTTAGAACAACTTTGAACATACATGAGATGATATTTCTATCATTTGTAAGTTTTATAATCCTGGGTACAAGGAAATTACAACCTTTCCTTTTCCTCTGTATCTATAAACACCGTTTGACAGTAGTTACAGAGAGTGAATTAGTTATATATAAGAGACCATATTTCAGTCACCAAAGTGGAGATCAATGCATAGAGACTAATGGAGAAAACTTGGCTAATCAATTCAAACATAGATTTGACCGGTTTGACTACTAGATGAATGAATTGCAACAACTAAGACAACTAAACAAGTTGGTCTATGACAAATTGTCAAGCTATATTCAATATTGATATCTTTGCAAGCAGCACTTCCTTAAATTTAACCAACTATGTTCTCTACCATGACAAAATGATCATGCTTTTAACGCATTGTGATAAGAGAAAGCACAAACAGGAACTGACCTGCTTTCCCCACTCTGACGCTCTATCAACCAAGTATGAATACTCCAAGTCTTCAAAGCACTTTTGTAATGAAGAGAGTGGCTCATTAAAATAAACAGGCAGACAAACTCCAGAAAGATCCTTCCCAATATTGTCTTTAATAATTGACCACAAACCAACAGGCTTCTCTTTCTCTTTTGGTTCTGGTAAATTATCCCTTCTTTTGACATATGGATATTTTATATCTTTAATTCCCTTCTCAAACCCACGCAAACCATCAGAAAAGAAAGAATCTCTGTCATATATACAAGAATTTCCCACACCTTCCCTACTTCGGTAGGACGCACTTCTTAAAGCATCTGAAGACAGAAAGTCGTTTGTGTCGAAATATGTTCCATCATCATCATCTGTTTCAACATCCCCTCCATCCTGACTTTCATTATCCGCTACAGAATCAGAAGCACTGCCTTCCGACATGACAGAATAGAAATCTGAGACAGAAGAAAAAGAATAAGTAGATTGACACCATACAGACTAAAGCAAACCATTTACTACAGCATGATAAAGGTTAACTCACCAGCTCCCTAATTATTCCTAAAAGATACAAGTACTGTGAGGTCAATATTTAATTGAATTTTTTATTCAGGGTTTTTCTAGGATGTAATAAGTGTTTTGGGATGACCATAAGAAGTTTGGTCTTCAAGCATTATAACAGTCAATTTTCACTTGTATGGAAATAATATGATCAGGTACTAGACATAATCATCTAAACTGAAATTCAAATTGACAACAGTGCAGTGTACATATTTTGAAGTTAGTTCAAGGCAAAAGAAAATTATAAAGGGAGATATATAATGCTTACCACTAAACCTTCTATTCCCTGTTCCACAGTATGACTCACGTTCCTTTGTTTCATCCACCACTGTAGCTTCCAACTCTATTTTCTCAGTCTACATGAATGTTTAAAGAATACAATTTAAATTGTTGCAGTGAAATAATAAGGAAAAACAGAAACTGACCATACATAATGTGAAACTCAGTACTTAAGGTGATAGCTGAGAATTTAGGTACCATTTACAACCAAAAAAAAAAAAAAAAAAAAAAAAATTATGGAAAACTAGTGCTTGACAAGGGCAGAAACTAAATAAAACTAACTGCTTCCATATTAAAATAATCATATCGCTTGATAAGCGTCCTTAATGCTGAGGCATATCAAGTAGATGTACTGCTTGAGGATGAGTTTTGAAGGAAAGATGAATACCTCTAGCTGTTTTAAGGTGTCCAGCAACACCACATGTTTTTGATGAAGAAATTTCAGGCGGTCTTGAAGGTAAGAGACTTCAGAAAGCATGATTGATTCACAGTCTTTAATAACTACCTCAGCTATGCCTTCTTGTGATAATCGTGACCGCAACTTTTCTGTGGAAACTACAATATCTTCTGAGGTAGCAAGATCACTGCTTGTTAGAGATCTAGGGAA